GAGAAGGACGTGCACCTAAGAAAGAAACTAGAGCTTTGACTTACACCTAAAGACAAAACCCAAACCTACCTGTTGTACACCGTAAAAGGCCAGCTTCTTCCAAAAAGCTTAAGTTTTAATCATGCATCACATTAAATAGTGATATACAGTAGTTTCATGCTCTGCTTGAAAAGATTCAAGGCCCAAAACTTTAACATAGGTTCAAGCCTTCAAGAAGTTGTGGTGGTTTTGGCAAGAAGACGATGACACATTCGTCCCTAATGAGCAAAAGCCAAGAAAAAACTAAAGGTTAATGAACAATCATAAGAACATTTAGCTTCATGTGGAATTCGAGCGATAAGACAATAACTCTTAACTCATGCAATTTCAATATAACCCTTAATGAGCAAAAGCCAAAACTATAGGATATTGAACAACCATAAGAAAAAAGCTCCTACATTTGAACTGATTACCACCAAATATCACAACTTTGCAGTTTCATTACCATTAACTGAATCACAAAAAATCCACCAAGAGAAACTTAGTGGTCAAAATCATAACGGTTTAAAGTCATGACTGAACTTCGATTTTGCAAGTGGTACCAAAGATATGGGTGAAGAAAGCTCCAGGGAAGGATGTACCTCAACTCTCTTTTATGAGCACAGAAATTGCTGAGATGGAGACAAAGAAGAATCTTATAAGATGAAATTCCTCTCTTAAACCACAAGTCACCACAAAAATCAGAAGTTCTATTTAAAGGATTAGATACGCTACCACAACAACTCTTACTTCTGGAGCAATTCAAATGCAACCAATAACACTAAATATTTGAAACCAAGGTAGAGAGAGCGAGAGAGAAAAGATGGTCTAAAATGCTGAATAAGATTTAAATAGACCAAAAGTAGTAGTCAATCAAAGAATCAAAAACTCCATCAAGAGAAGCAAAAACTAACAGAATTAAAGATGAGAGAAGCAATAGAAACGAAGAACTTTCTTTTATGAGCGCGAAAATTGGTGAGATGCAGACAGAGTAGAATCTTATAAGATGAAATTCTTCTGTAAATCAGAAGTCACCACAAGAATTAGAATTTTCCTATAGATGATTAAATACTCTACCACAACAACTCTTACTACTACTAGAACAATTCAAATGCAACCAATAACACAAATATTTGCAACCAAGGTAGAGAGAGCGAGAGAGAAAATGTAGGCTAAAATGCTGAATAAGATTTAAACTGAGTCAATCAAGGAATCACAAACTCCATCAAGAGAAGATTTTGTGAAAATCATGACTTAGTTTGAAAGGGGTAAGAGATATTTAATTTCTGCAATACGTCGGTTTCCCTGTTAAGAATCAATCACTAAAAATATGTAATTAAAACAGAATAACACAAACAGATTGATATATATTGTTCAATGACCTAACATGTGTATGTAAATAGAAAAAACTGACATTACCGTTATTGTTGTAGACCAAAGCTTAAATTCAACATTGCGCTGGTTTGGCGCACATAAATTAATAAGCAACTATACAAAAGAGTACAATATAGTTAGAGATGAAATACATACCTGCTCCCTGAGACGCCAGATTCTTCTTGTATATTATGTAGAAGTTTGTATACTCTCTATACATTGTCCAAGCACATCAAGACAATGGATTTAATTCTTTATCCATAAAGTCCCCACATATAATTTCAGGGGATTGGACTTATCGATATAGTGTTTTGAGCAGAGAGTTGAATTTCCCAAAAGAAAAATCATTAGAGAAACAAAGAGCATTTACTCCTCATCGATAAGCAGAATGTTGAATACATCATGTTACCCAGCTCAACAAGATATTGAGTTTTTTAGCTGACAATTGAACTTTCCCAATCTCGGAAATCGTTAGAAAAGCCTAATAAAGTAGACTTTTTATCAATATATGCAGAGTAGACTTTTTCCTCTAGCAATATAATGAAGATATCATTAAGCAAGCAGATAACTGAATATTCCAATCTCCGAACATCCAAGCCTTAATAGACTAGCTTTTATTCCCCCATCAATATGCAGAAAGTTTGAATTTTATATCATCCAGTCTTAGCAGAGCTAGATTTAGAGTTTTAAGCAGAGAACTGAATTTTCCCAATCTTGGGACATCATTAGATACAAGCCTTGTTAAAAGGCAGATCTTTGCAGAAATTGAAGTTCATATCAAGCTGTCCCTGCTCAGCAAGATAATCTTAAGCAGACAATTGAATTGTTAGCCTTATCTCACAACACCTAGTGCTTCCCAAGCTCAACAAGATAATCTTAAACAAGCAATTAACTTGTCTGAATATCCCAATTTCCGAACATACAAGCCTTATTAAAGGACTTTTATTCCCCCATCGATACGCAGAAGTTTTGACTTCTATATCTAACCAGAGCTAGATTTAGAGTTTTAAGCAGAGAATTGAATTTCCCATCTTGGGACATCATTAGATTCATTAGATACAAGCCTTGTTGATGGCAGATCTTTCTAAGCCTTGTTAAAAGGCAGAATTTGAAGTATATATCAAGCTGTCCAGGCTCAGCAAGATAACTGAATGTTCCATTTTTCGAACATTCAAGCCTTAGTAAAGGCCTTTTATTCCCCCATCAATATGCAGACACACTGAATTTTATATCATACTGTCTAGCAGAGCTAGATTTAGAGTTTTAAGCAGATAATTGAATTTTTCCCAATCTTGGGACGTCATTAGATACAAACCTTGTTAAAAGGCAGATCTTTGTAAGCCTTGTTAATGGCAGAATATGAAGTATATATCAAGCTGTCCAGGCTCAGCAAGATACTCTCAAGTAAGCAGATAACTGAATATCCCAATTTCCGAACATACAAAGCCTTCTTAAAGGACTTTTGTTCCCCATCAATAAGCAGACATTTTGAATTTTGTATCATACTGTCCTTAGCATAGCTAGGTTTAGAGTTTTAAGCAGAGAATTGAATCTTGGGACATCATTAGATACAAGCCTTTGTTACAAGGAAGATCTTTGCAGAAATTGAAGTTTATATATCAAGCTGTCCCAGCTCAGCAAGATATAGAATTTGGGACATAATTTTGACAAGTCTTATTTAAGAACATTATCTCCGTTTCAAGCATATCTTGCTTGTGTTAGGCAACATTGGGACAAATTTTCCCAAGTTAGAAACCGGACATACAACAACCATATGATGTGTCGTCCCTTTCTTTTGGGTTTAAATATAAGAAAAAAACTTC